ACCAGGGCTTGTGTCTGGAGTGCCACCTTTTCTGTAAGCAGGTCTGCTGGCTAAGTTCAACTGTTTCCTCATGGACATTATAAACTTTAAAGGCCATTTTTCCAGATCTCGAATGGGGGTTTGGGGATCATCCTCAGACCGCTTTAGCTTTTTTTATAATATTGGGGGCTGACTGAGTGATAAATGAGTGACCAGAATGGTCGCCCCAGAGGGAGATCCAGGCTCTAATCTAGTATAGAGCGAGGGCCTCCATTAAGCGGTTAAGGAACATTGCAGGGTTCTCATCAGGCCCCTGAATGACTTCTGTTAGTTTATCAAAATTAACAACCTTATTAGAAACTGCCTGCATGCCTGCTAGCAGACATTGTATCATCTAGGCACAGCGGCGTCGGCCCTGTTCTCCATTTTGATAGCCCCAACCAGGATTAGTGTCGGGGACTGCGGCCGCGCCTGTAGGCATGGTGTTATCGGTCAAATGAACCTGGTCTGCATGGTACTGTGCAGCTACCTGGACTGCGTTCGTCCGAGTAAGGGTGGAGGTGAGGATGACATGGACATCATGCCAAGTAAGGTCAAAGGCTTGGGAAAGGTATTTAAATTCTTTGATATAGGTAGTGGGGTCAGCAGAAAAGGAGCCTAAGTGCTTTTGGATTTTTGAAAGGTCTTATAGAGGAAAAAGGGACATGAACCTGAATGATGCCTTCAGATCCTGCCACCTCGAGGAGAGGACAGAGAAGTTCAGGATCTTGGGTTATTTGGCGAGACCTGGTATGGGCACTCACTGGGGAAGAGACAGGGGAGGGAGGGTGGTCTAACTCAGGTGGAGTTGGTTCTGGATAAGGAGGAGGGTCAGCACAGGAGGGTCTAGAGGGTGGTAAGGAGAGTGGCTCTGGAGGTTGAGTAAGCAGAGAGGGGTCAGGGTCAGGAGCAGAGGGGGCTTGGAAGGAGAAGTTTCTTTAGCGAGGAGGACTTGGAAAGTGAAGGTGGAGCAGAAAGAGGGACGGGAGCCCAAGTCCCCAAAGGCCTGAACATAAGGAAACTCTAACCACTTTTCCATCTGTCCGCAGAAATCGTCCAAATCAGTGAGGATTTTAAAATCAAAAGTCCCCTCAGGAGGCCATTTAGAGCCATTATCTAAAGTGTATTGTGGCCAGGCCATGGTGGAATAGAAAAATAGATGTGTACAGCATAAGTCCTGAGCGAGTCCCAATTTGGAAAAATGTATGTATAAACACCCCAAGGGAGTTTGGGGGTCCAGAGTGGACTCTATATTTCCCATGATGTTTCGACACCAGGGGTGAGCAGGGAAGAAAAAGGCGTCCCAATTATCTACTCTGCTCACCAGAGAATGGAGTGGCCTGGCCAGGGACCGAGACATCTATATAGTCCCTGGGGGCCTGGACTGGTTGGGAGGGGAGTCTGACAGGACTTGAATTTATGGGTAGAGTCCTGGCAATCGGGAGGGAGTCAAAAGAGCAAAGAGAAAGGGACTTACCTCACGTTCGCTGGGTCGGATGAGGGCAAGTGGTCTAAAGATCCCTGGTCATTCTGGTGGCAGAGAGGAGTAGTGGCTTTCCCTAAGGGGAAGCTTTGAACTCCTCCCGGGTTTCAGCACCAAATGTAAAGCAGAAAGGGTGCACGAGATCAGGAACCATGGAACAAGAATGAGGCACCCAAAGAAGGTTTTTTTGGGGGGTGCTCCTGGGAGAGGTTAACAGGTCCACAAAAGGGTGAGGGCCGGGGAAGTCGCAGGCAGGAAAGGCAAGAACAATGCTAATAAGGGAAGCTGGGGGTAGGAGGGCCTAGGCCATCTAAATTGCAGCTACCGACATCAGGTTGGCCGAACAGAGTTTAGGGACATGGTGTCTGTCGTGGGTTAGTCAGGGCTGATGTGGATTGATAGGGCGATTGCTTCAGGCGAGGGAAACCCATGGTGGTTGGGGTCCATTGCCATGTCAGTTTCTGATTGGCCACTTCGGGTCTCCTCAGCCAGGTAGAAGGTCCCTGGCCACAGCCACCATGAAAGGGGAGGAAGAAGGGAAGGCTGCCGACCCAACATATAGTTGTTCTTGTTTTGCAAATCAGAAAATACATAAACATTAAGAACAAGAGATCAGCAAAATTCACTTGGTCACTAGATTTCTCCTGTCAAACACATGGATTCAAGAACTTATCACAACGACTTTATTAAGTGACATAGGGTTGGGATATCTTCAGGGGATTCTGCCCAGAAAGGAACCACATTCTTGCTCCAAGATGATCCTTTACAAGTGGGTGTACTTTCCCCCAACAGTTCCCTTTTGTTTGATACTATTTCTAATTTTTTTGTTGTGAAAAAAAAATGCTAGAATTAATGTTTTTATTTTTGTCTGGAAGATTTTACATTTTTCAATGGTGTTTATTTTGAATGTATATAATATGGTAGGATGGTTAGTTTTTATGCCAACTTTACTATGCTATGGGATGCACAGAGAACCAGCAAAACATGCTTTCTGGTTGTGTCTGTGAGGATGTTTCTGGAAGAGATTGGCATTTGAATCAGTAGATGTAAAGTGCCCTGACCAGTACAGATGGCATGGTACAATATCTGTTGAGGGCCTGGATGGAGCAAAAAGGCAATAATGGGGTGACTGCACTCTCTTCTTGAGATGGGACATGCATTTTCTGCTCTCAAACACCAGAGCTCCCTGTTCCTGGGTCTTTGGTGCAGGAGGTCTCCATATCCCTGCTGTTTCTCAGGCTTTCTGACTCAGGCTGAATTACACCACCAGTCTTTCTGCTTCTCCAGTTTGGAAATTGCACATTGTGGGACTTTTTGCCTCCATAGTTGTGTGAGCCAATTCCTACAATAAGGCTTTACTGTAGTTGATCTTCAATGTCTCCTGAAGGCCCAGGCTTTGGAGGCTTGGTCCCCAGACTGTAGCACCATTGGGAGGTGGTGGCGTGTTTGGAACGTGGGCCTAAGGGAGGAATTTAGATCACTAGGGGCAAAGAAGATCTGGAAATCTGGCCCATTCTGCTTCCCTTTCTCTCTCTGCTCCCCAGCAGCCATGAGGTGAACAAGCCCATAAGCTCCCACCATGGAGTACTGTGCTACCACACATAGTGACAGGGCCAAGCAATCATGGACTGAAACTGGGGGCCAAAATAAACATTTTCCTTTATCGAGTTGATTTTCTCAGGTATTTCATCACAGTAACACAAGACTCCATCCCTCTTTCTCTGCATACACATGCATGTGTGTGCATGCATCAACACATCTCCTATGGTTTTGTTTTTCAGGAGAGCCCTGACTAATACAATATTATTGTTTTAATATTGAACCACTTAAAAGTAAACTATTAACATAATTGTTTGTTCCCAAATACTTCAGCATTTAAAATTTTTTTTTAAAAAAATATTTATTCTAATTAGTTATACATGACAATAGAATGCATTTTGACACATCATATATATGCTTCAGCATTTAACTCCTACAAATAAGAACAGTCTCTTAAAAAAAACTGATAGTACAATAATACAACTATCAGATTAAGAAAATTTAATATTGAAAAAATATTATTACCTAATATTCAGGTCATATTGAAATTATCCTTTTTAAAAGTTTCTTTTTTTTTTCTTTTTTTAATTAATACTGACTACTACTTCAGTCAATTTTCCTTTTCATTTCACTACTGGCCAGGGGTGCTATGAGTTGCATTCCAATCCCTTCACAGTGTTGGTTAACATGGTCCACTATTGCCTGTGTTCCTGGAAACTAGAAGTTAGACTCAAAAGCTTGAGCAGATTATTCTTAAACAGTTACACTTCATCACATTTCAGGGTACCTACCAGGAGGTTGCTCCACATTTAGGGATGCTATGTTTGAACTCTAAGGTGGTGACCACCACAACTTGGGGTGATATTTTGGGACAGTGCACATCCCTGTTTGTTCCCCAGTGAAGCTTTACCTAATGGCTTCCTTATCTGGGTGATCCTTATCTTTCATGGCATCCTCCTATAAGGAAGAGCGAGGGTTCACTCATCAACCAGGAACAAGTTACAGTTGCTCCTAAAAAAAGGCAAGATGAGGGACTACTTCCTTCCCTTCAATCACCCATTTTCAGAGTGCATTGGTCTGCCAGGGATTCCACAACAAGGTCCCATAGATGGGGAGGTTTACACAAGAGAAATTCATCTTCTCACAGTTCTGGAGGCCAGAAGTTTAAGATCAAGGTGCTAATCAAAAGGGAAAATACTGGGGAATGATATGGACCAAAGTATATTGTTACATTGTGTTTGTGTACAAATATGTAACGAGTTCCACATTTATGTATAATTATAACCCATCAATTCAAAAAAAATAAGAAAAAAGAAAACGTGCCGGCAGGACTGCTCTCTGGTGAAGCCTCCCTTTGTGGCTGCAGATGCCGCTTCTCTCCATGTTCTCACATGGCTTTTGCTTTGTGCAGAACCTCCCTGTGTCTCCTTCTGTTCTTGTGAGGACACCTGACCTATTGTGTTAGGGGCCCACCCTTAGCACTTCTTTTATGCTTCATTGCCTCCTTAAAGACCCTGTCTCCAGATATAGTCACACTGAGGGTTAGGACCTCAGCCTATGAATCTGGGGATTAGAGGACCCAATTTAGTTCATAGCACAAATTAAGGAGTTGGCGTGTAAATTTCTTCTGAGACTCTGACCCTTCTCTCTGTTTGTCCTTTTGTCATGTCCCCAAGAGTCTTTGAGAACTATCTTGCTTCCTGTCACAAACTACCCCACGCTCACTCAGCTTCTACTGCCCCAGACTCAAAGTAGCCACTTCTCCAGACCTGGGTCCATTGAAAAGTAGATTTAGGGGAAAAAAAGAAAGAATTTAGATACAAGATCTGGAGAGTCAGAGTTTACTCATTGCTGTTAGAGTGACATTGTTTCTAGCACTTGCAGTAGTACTAAGGGATTTTTTTAAATCATAAATTGATGTTAACTTTTATTCCCAGTTATATTCAATATTAAGGCAAAATTTGGGATTTGATTTAATTTTATTTTGAACATACAAAATACAGAGAAGTCTTGGTTCCATTCTTTCTCTCCTCTCTCTTCCACCTGCCCCCAGCAGGCCATCATTATTTTTTATTAATTCCAGGTCTTTCCAGTGTGTCTTTTGGTAACACACACACACACACAAGCACACACACAATTATGCTGCTCTGCACCTTACTTTTGAAAAACACATTAATATCTCCTGGCAATCATTCCATATGTAGACATTCTCATTTCCCTTACATACCTGTAAAGTACCATAATATGTGAATATCCTGTTGTTTATTCTACCAGCCTTTTAAAGATGGGTGTTGAGGTAGTTTCTGATCTTCTAATATTACAAATAATGGCAGAATGGTAACTTCATCTTATATTGTTTTTATTTTGTGAAGGTATATCTTCAGTGCAAATTCTGAGAAGTGTCACTGTTACTTTAAAATGTAAATGCACGTGTGATTTTCTTTGATATTGTCACATTCTACTTCATAAGTGCCATTTTGCATTCCCACTGGTGACATACAAAAGTGCCCACTTTACTTGAAGTTTCATCAACATGGAGCATCATCCAGATCCAACTTTTGAATTTCTGCCAATCTTTTGAGCAGATCATAACTCAGGACAGTTTTAACGGGCTCTGTGGTCCCAGTCACATTTACATTTCTCTATGCGTGAGGTGGAGCACCATTTTAAATGTAAAAAGCCTTTTGAATCATTTTTCTGTGAACTGTTTAGCCATGAATTTACTAGATTGAGTCTATTTTTAAAAAATAATTTAACATAAATCTTTCCTGAAGCAAGCACTGTCACTTTTAACACAGATGTACTAGAGAAAGACATATAAAATATAAGATAAAACCAAAGAAATAAGACAATACTGTACTTGACTCCCTCACCCCTAAACTCATTCTCATCAAAAAGTATTAGTGATCCCTTAAATTTTAACCTTTCTCCTTTGGCTCTATTGAGTCAACTGGAATATTCTGGCACCAAACCATCATTTTATTATTTTTCAAAATCTTGGCCAGTCGACTGGTTTTGTTAGAACATGGTGTTAATGAAAGAAACATTGCCGTCTCTACCCAGATGTGCTCTTGGCTCTCCACTGGGAAAAGCTGTTCCCCAGCCAGAAGTGGGGCTGCCCAGCTGTCTCCCATTCAGACAGAAGTCTTAAAAGAACACCCTGTGTGGAAGGAGTGGCAATGGCGTCATCTCCAAACATAGTTCACGCTGGGGGCGGATGCCACCACTCTTGATTCTTTGGAGGCCTGGTGTATTTCTGCCTGGGAATTTCACTGTGAGGTCAGCCGCCAGTCGGGAAGACACATGTGTCAAGCAGGGAAGTAGGAAGAGCCCCCTCCACACTGCTCTACAGCTGGCTGCCCCAGGTGGAGGGGGAGATGGCGCTCACCCACGTGAGCCCAGCACTAGTCCTTACACTATGTGCAAAGCCCCTGTGTTTATGATCTACTGTTGCATAAAAAAACTACCCCACAATGAGGGGCTCGAAGCAACCACAGATATATATTATCACTTTTCGGCCACTTGGGAGCCACTGGGCTGAGTGGTTCTCTCATGAGGTTGTGGTCAAGACGTCAGCCAAGGCTGCAGCCCTCTGAAGATGTGACTGGGGCCACAGAGCCTGCTTCCAAGATAGTCACTGCTCTGCACTGAAAATTTGTGTCCTCCCTAAATTCATAGGTTGAATTCTAATCCATGAGATGATATTTGGAGGTAAACCATCGGGAAGGAATCAGATCATGATCGTGGAGCCTTCAGGGATGGGATTGGTGCCCTTCTAACAGAAAACCCTAGGGAGCTCCCTCCCGTCTTCCACCATGTGAGGACACAGAAGGAAGCCAGGCATCATATGAGGACCAGGAAGTATGCCCTGAGCAGATACCTTGCTGGTACCTTGATCTTGGACTTCCCAGACTCCAAAACTGGGGAGAAATAAATTTCTGTGATTTAGAAGCCCATCAATCTATGGTATTTTTGTACAGCAACCTGAATGGACTAAGTCAGGCATTCACATGACAGCAAGTTCATGCTGGCTGTAAGCAGGAGGCCTCTCATGGGGCTTCTGAGTGCCTTCACAATCCTGTGAGCCTGGCTTCCTGAAGAGCAAGAGATTTGAGAGCCAGAAAGTGCTGCACTGCTAAGGGTCAATGCTTGAAGCCATGCACCATCACTCTGCTATTCCGTTTGTTAGAAGGACTCAGTCTGGTTCACACTGAAGGGAAGAGGAATTAGCTGTCACCTTTTGAAAAGAGTTGTCACAAAAAATTTATGGGCACAATTTTTTTTTTTTGGTACTAGTAATTGAACCCAGAGGCTCTTTACCACCAAGCTACATCATCCACAGTCCTTAATTTTAAATTTTGAGTCAGGGTCTCGCTAAATTACTTAAGACCTCACTAAGTTGCTGAGGCTGGCCTTGAATTTTTGACCCTCCTGCCTCTGCCTCCTGAGTTGCTGGAGTTACAGGTGTGTGCCACCATGTCTAGCTATGGACAAACTTTAAAATCACCCTAGGCCAGAAAGCTTTTTTTCTTGTAACTGAAGTGTTGCCTCATGAAACCCTCTCTGGTAGACTCATGAAAGATGTCACCTCTTTTCAGTTTTCCTCATAATAAAATGTCTTCATCACACCTGCTTTCAGTGTTCTTTGACCTATTATAACAATGGAACCAATTAAAATGCAGTTTTCTGAACCTCATCAAGATTTTCATTTCATTGGCCCAACGGGCTAGTGAATCTTCATTTTTACAAGAATTGCTGATACAGTGAATCCTTTGGTCCTGGCCCAGAAAGACAGGTACTGAGTTTTTTTAGCACTGTGCTTCTATGTCACCAACAATCCCATCAGCATTCCACTGAAAGCAAGTTGGAGCACATCACTGTAGCTTGTTGAGCACACAGCACCACACCTGGCAGAGATAACTGCATCACAAATCCTCAATAGATGGATGATGAACAGGTGAACGAATGAGTCATGATCAAAGCTCAGTTGCATCGACTTTGATGATGCTTTTTCAAAAGTTAAAATTCCCAACATCGCCTAAGATGTTATTCTTGCTGAGAAGTATCTAACCTGCTTCTCATGAAGCCTCTCAACCTCAATCACAGTTTATAGAAAATATGGGTGATAAAGGAATGTGTTATGTGATATCTTGAGAAGATAATCAGATGAATACAGAATTTGGGGCATTTAATAAGACAGCTGGGCTGGAGTTCTGACCAGGTCGATGGCATAGGGGAGAAAAGGGTAAGGGGGATTGTTCTAGATCAAAGATTGATGAACTATCGCTAAAGGTCAGTTGCTAGTTTCTGCAAATAAAGTCTTATTTGAACCTAATCATACTCATTAGCTTACTGTTACCTCTGGCTGCATTTGTGCTATGATGACACAATTGAGAAACTGTAACTGGACAGTGTTGGCCGCAAAACAAAGATATTTATTACCTGACCTTTTAAGAAAAAGTTTGCTGACCTTCATTCTGGATTAAAGATGCTTGATGACTCTTCTGCTTCCATCAATGACAGAGTGGTCATCCTGCCACATGCAACCAGAAAACTGAATAAAATCAATCCAATAGCTGTTTTCAGACACAAGATATTTGGCAGCACAGGGCTGTACTCCAAGAGGTAAAGAAGAAACTAGGTGAGCCTTACAATTACCCAGACTTTCTGCCAGAGCCATTTGCACATCCTAACACAGGGAAAGGGCCCCAAACTAAGTGCAGTGGTCTCGCTGAGCCGGAGACACAGATGTTGGCACCTGGGGAGGCTAAGGCAGAGAAACTACATAGAGGGAGTGTCAGGCTTAGGGGTTTCCCTGGAGTCTCTGGCTGTGTACAAGCCATGCAAGTGGACAGTGAGACGCCAGGAGGTCCATCAAAGCACAGCCTCCAGGGAAAGAGAGGCTACAGCACCTGGAAACTAAACTGCCATTGGAAGCCACAGAGTTGGGAGACCCCTGGATTTTGACCATCAGGATGGAAAGACCGCACTGAACACTAAGGGAGTTGACAGCCAGGAGGCCACATCTCCTAATTAGGACTAAACCAGAAGCAAGTAAAGGCAACTCTAGATCTGCTTTAGCAGAGAACAAATTCATGAATAAGTTAACTGTCTTCCAAAGCAAAACTCAACAGTCCTTAAAGGAAGACAGTACAAATGCCTTTAATGTTGGATTCCAAATGCATTTTGGATTTTGAGATCAAGAACAGGATATAGTCCATATACAAAACTCAATAGTGTCTCTGTATATTAATACAAACAATTGGAAAATAAAGTCAATAAAAATACTATTTGTAATATCAAAGATTAATGTTTTAGGATAAATTATATATATTTATATTTATATTTATATATGATTGAAGTATAAACATTTCTCAGCCAGATGTGGTGGTGCATGCCTGTAACCCAGCTGCTTGGGAGGCTGAAGCAGGAGGATCACAAGTTGGAGGCCAGCCTGGGCAACTTAGCAAGGACCTTGTCTCAAAATTTTCTTTAAAAATTAAAAACAGCTGGGAATGTAGCTCAGTGGTAAATCACTTGCCTAGTATACCCAAGACCCTGAGTTCAATCCATAGCATACCACACACAAACACACACCCATGAGGTCTTTTAATGGTCTTTTCAATAAATGATGTTGGAACAACTTGGTGTGTGTTTGAAACAAAACAAAACAACCCTCAGCTTCTATCTCCATGTAAAAAAAAATTACCCCTAAATGGTTTATATGCCCAAATGCCAAAGTTCAAACTACAAAACTTCTAGAATAAAACACAGAAGAAAATCTTTATAACCTTCAGATAGGTGAAGATTTCTTAGAAAGTACCAAACATAAGTGAAAGTATCGATAAGTTTGGCTTCCTTGAAACAAAATCCTTTTGCTCTTCAAAAGACAATATTAAGAAAATGAAAAATCAAGTCACTGAGTGGGAGAAATTATTTGTAATACATAAACCTGGCAAAGTACTCATATGAATATCTCAGTAATAAAAAGACAATCTGCTGGTTTTTTGTTTTTGTTTTTGTACTAGGGATTGAACCCAGAGCCACATCCCCAATCCCCACCCCCACCTTTTTTTTTTTTTTTTTTTGAGACAGGGTCTTGCTAAGTTGCTGAGGCTGGCTTTGAATGCGCGTTCCTCCTGCCCCAGTCTCCTGAGCCATTGAGATTGCGAGTGTGCACCACCATGCCTGGTGACAACCTGCTTTTTAAAAAGCCAAAATATTTGAACAGACACCACAAAAAGAATACATATCTCCAAATGGCCAGTAAGCACATGAAAAGATACATAAAACATCTCTAGTTATCAGGGACATGCAAAGCAAAAACACATAAAGATGCTACTGCCCATTCACAAAAAATAATAAAATGTAAAGGACTGATCATAGAAAGCATAGGTGAGGAGGACACATAGAAACTACAACCTTGGGCTGGGGTTGTGGCTCAGCGGTAGATCGCTCACCTACCATGGGCGAGGCCCTAGGTTCGACCCCCAGCACCACATAAAAATAAATAAATAAAGATATTGTGTCCAATTACAACTAAAAAATAAATATTAAAAAAAGAAACTACAACCTCATATATTGCTTGTGTGTAGAATGTTATTAACACTTTGGAAACAGTTTGGCCATTTCTTTTTTTTTTTAATTAAAATTTTTTTTTTGTAGTTGTAGATGGACAGAATGCCTTTATTTTATTTTTATGTGGTGCTGAGGATTAAACCCAGTGCCTCACATGTGCTAGGCAAGCTCTCTGTCACTCAGCTACAGCCCCAGCCCAGTTTGGCCATTTCTTATAAAGTTAAATATATATTTATATGATCCAGAAATCCTACTCACAGATTTTTACCCAAGAGAAATGAAAACACATGTCTACAGAAAGAGTTGTACAAGAATTTTCATAGCAACTTTGATCATAATAGCCTAAAACTGGAAATAATCCAAATATCTGTCAGGGGTGATGGATAAGCAAATCATAATATATTCATACAATGGCTCACTGCTCAGCAATACAGAGAACAAGCTACTCACGTTTACAACATCCTGGGTGAATCTCAAAGATATACTGAGTGAAAGAAGTGAGACACAAAAGAACATAGGCTGTATTCTTCCATTTATGAAGTTTCTGAGCTGGCAAAACTATTTACAGTGGTTGACAAGGTACGGGATGGGGCAGGGCTGGTGATAGGTTTTGAAGAGAAAAGGTCTGAACTTTCTATATTTTGATAAAGGAGTAAATGTCAGAGTAGATACAATTTAAAATGCATTAAATCATACAGTTTAAATGAATGTATTGTACTTAATATTAGTTTTACTTATTTAAAAAAGTTTAAAATAGACTAAATAATAGAGAATAATAGAGACATAATATCGAAACTCAAATGGGTGATCCTCAGTTATCTACTGACTTGGAGAAAACAAAGCTATTAAAGATATTTTTAGGATGAATAGGCAATTTTGATTATGGCTTGGTTATTAAATAATATTGTAGAATGTTAATCTTAGCTATGATAATGATATGAAGATTAAAAAGAAGCATCTAATTTCCTATTCTTAGACCTATACTGGAATATTTAGGAATAAAATCTCAAGTTCATCTACAACTTACATTTCAATGGTTTAGTAGCAACCAAAAAATGATATAATGTCAATAAAAACACATCCAAGACTCTGAGATGAAGCAAGTCTGGGAGGTAGTACCATTGTTGAAGAAGGTGGTATATGGATTTTCATTGTAATTTCAACTTTTCTGATTTTCAACATTTTCCCACAACTTTCTATGATAATTATGAAAATTGGAGGAGAAACTGTTGACTCCAGCTAACTGTGAAGTCTACAGATTTCCTTAGAAGATGGCATTTATGAAAACATGGCTAGAGTCAGAGTTTCCTCCAAATTCTTCTAAGCATGGTTTTGAACAGAACTCCAGGGACAAACGGCATTAGCAATGTTAGCAGTTGGGTTAGCTGCCATGGGCCCGCTGGGTGGAGCAGATGGGCCTCCTGGCTTTCTTGACTGGGGCAGGAGACATCTCTGTGTTGGGTCAGGGAACGACAGGACCGTGGCTGGGGCCACCTCTGTGCTGTCCTTTAGTCACACACCCTTGGCATTCTTCAACCCTTCTCTGTGCCTACCCAGGGCTCTCCCTGGCTGAATTATTCCAGCCAAGCTAAAAGTTTCATACAATGACACAGGACACATAACGCCCATGTGACTCTATTTGCTAAACAGTGAAAACCAGGTTCACACAGAGGCTTCACAAAAGGCTACGTGCACACATGTGGAAACATTTGCCTGCAGATCTCAGGCTCACTGCTACTGAGATGCTGCCCCGGGCCTTGGCCATCTGGGGCCCTGGAGCTAAGGAGGGAAGGGTAAGAAGTGGGCAAGGGCTTCCTTGGGCTCTATACCTTCAGCAGGTAAAAGAGGAGGAAGATGAGTCAGCTGGGGTGAGGAGAGAGAGAAGCAGCAAGGTTGAGGTCCCACCTTGCCAGCGAAGGAGCCGAGTTCCAGAAGAATATGTGGCAGCAGGTGTGAGATGTTACAGAAACGCCCTGAGGTTAAGAGCTGGAAAAAGTTCACAAAATCTGGGCCCTTAGTGGGTCTGGGGGATCAGGGTCAGAGTAATTCTCAGGGCTTGGAAGATAGAGGGAGAGGACTTAGGGATTGCCCCAGAAAGGAGACAATGGAGGCACAGGTGCAAACAATTTTGCCAGTTAGTTTTGGCGCAATGCTGAGATGGTTGAGGAAGGGGCGCCAGGCACGGGAGCCGGGGAGAGGGGTTTGCTTGTCTGGAGACCTGAGTATGCTTGGAGCTGAGAGGAGAGGAAGGGAAGGAGGGACACCCCTGTTAAGGGTGGCTCAGCACAGAAACTCAGATGTCAGGAAGGAGAGAGGAGAGACAAAGCCGTGGAGATGTTCTGAGGTCCCCAGAGAAACTCCAGTGCCACACATTCTCCTTACTTGTCTTTAAAAATAAGAACAGAAAACATAAACCTCTTTTTATGTGCATGGATATAATCTAGACAGACTTCTAATTATATTTAATTAAAGGAGAAAGTCAGAGGGAGGGACATGAAGAAGTGGATGTTGGATAGTCTGAGGTGATAAGGAAAGCGAGACCATGGAGTCATGGAAAGACCTGGAAGAAGTGGCACCGCAGAGAAAGACACATAGGGGAAAGCACAAGAACACACCGAGAGATGGGCAGTTAAGGTCACAGACCTTGTGGTGACAAAACAGCTGTGGCCACCCAGGGTCAGACAGACAGCTCACACGATGGCCAGTGTGTTCCATGGTGAATGTTCAGTGCACAGAGCGGAAACTGTGGTTTATACCTGAGCTGTGACAGTCGCCACACTCTGAGACAGTCCACCAGTTTTAAGGGCAGGGGACGTCCACCCCTGGTTCTGGTGAGGGAAGTATCAAAGTCACAGTGAAAGAGGAGAAAGTGAAATGGCACATGTTGTCACAGTTACCTTTGGAAAAAACAACCTGCTACATCAGCTTTGGCCAACTGAGATCCTTAAAAGCTCTAGAAAACTTGAAGTGGGAATCAGCAAGGGTAACTCTTGGGTTTCCCAACTTAAATTCCTGCATGTTCTGGATTATGATCACTTTTTTTTTTTAATTTGAAAAATAAGATGCATTGGTCTGGTGAGCAACCAGCTTTATTCCAGAGAAGAGACTTCTGCCCTGACTCTCTCCTTGGCAATGTTCTATGGCACTGCCCCCACGGGCTTTCTGTTCTTTGTGCCCAGATGAGGCTCACCAGTGTGACTACATTTTAGGAAAACTGGCTTTCAGTAGCTTCTCTCTTAAAAACCACCATGGCCAATTTCAGATCCTCGCAGACAGTCTTTCCAGATGCTTCTGTCTGCTGTTGCTGTTGCTTCTGCTTTCATTGCCAAGGAGAAGGTCACGCCAGCAGACTCCTCTCTCTGGAATAAAGCTGATGCTCTCCAGACCAAGGCATCTCATTTCCAAATCAAAAAGAAACCACCAAATCCAGCACACTTAGAAGCTAAGTTGGAAAACCCAGGAGTTACACATACAGATTCCCACTCCACGTTTTCTGGAGCTCATAGGCTCTTGAGTGGTGTGACGCATTGACCACAGAGGAATCTGAGGCCATTCACAGATGGACGTGAGCATTTTATCTCGTCAACTGCATGGTCAGTCTCTTAGGGGTGGGGCTCTGCTGTTCTCTTGGTCACCAGTGTTTACTACTTACTCAGAGTATCTTTTCTTTAGGTTTGTTTAGCTAGGGGCCCGCACAGCCGTTCCTAACAATCCTTGCTTTCATTTCACACCATGGCATGTCTACTCCAGCCAACAGCTTCTCTCCATTCGTTTCCCTGTTTCTAAATGAGAACCTGATTGTCCATGCTTTATTTTTGAACCCAGCAATATAGGCTCTAAATCATTTCCTGCTAGGGTGACCAATTTGTCCCATTGACGCAGTACTTTTCTGGTTTTAAGCTGAAAGTCTCGCATCCCGGGAACCACCTCATACCCAGACATACTCTGGGTAAGGAAGGGCTGCCCCTCATCAAATGTCAATTCCAACCAGTCACTCAAGAAGAGGCGAGCTGGGGGACCTGGCGTCCTGCAAGACCCCTGACCTTAAGCAGAGGTGGGGAGCCTCCCCGAGGCCAGGGTATGAGTTGGGCCAGCAATGATCAACCTCTTTAGTTAAAAGTATACTTAGACGAATTACCCATTAGGACGGAAGAATCGAGGTATCATACGTACATGCACAGCAGTTAGATTCAGTAGAAAGAGCAGTGAACTTGGAGTCAAGATGCCTGGCCTCTGCCACTGAGCAGCAGTAGAACCCCAGAGCCAGACCACTCAACTTTCTGAGCCTCTGTGTGTCCATCTGTAAAATGAAAGAGTTAGACTGGGGTTTGCTTCCTTTTATTTTATTTTTGTTCTAGAACTTCAGGTCCAGAGGGCAGAGTTACTCAGACTCCTCAAGACACGGTCTTGCTCTCATCATTGCTAAATCCTTCCCTCGACCTCTTCCTTCCCGTCCTTCCCTTTTTTCTTCTTCTCTCTCTTCTTTCCTTCTCCATTCCCAGCACTGACCCCCTTCCCCCCCAGAGTCAATCGCATCAATAGGAAAGGTATCTCTCCTAGAGTAGGTATGTAGTTTTATGAGGTAGGTAGGAGTAGGTATGTAGTTTCATGAGGTAGGTAGGAGTACTATTTTATGTCTACATTCTTAGTTTATATATATCCTATTAGACTGTAGCCCTCATTTGGTTTCTAACATTACTTACCTAGAACCATTTTAAAAATGTCTCTGGGACTGGGGTTGTGGCTCAGCCATAGAGCACTCGCCTCTCACATGCGAGATCCTGGGTTCGATCCTCAGCACCACATAAAAATAAATAAGTGAAATAAAGATATTGTGTCCAATTACAACTAAAAAATAAATATAAATTTTTTTTTTAAATGTCTCTATGGTGTTGGCTGTTGATTTTTTTTTTCTCATTTAGTACTGGGGATTGAACCCAGGGCCTCGCTCTACTACTGAGCTACACCCCCCAGGCCTTTTATTTGTTTGTTTGTTTGTTTATTTTTGAGACAGGGCCTTACCAAGTTGCTCAGGCTGGCCTCAAACTTGCGATCCTCCTGCCTCAGTCTGTAATCCAGGTTGCTGGGATTACAGGTGTGTACCACTGCACCTGGTCAGGCTCTTGTTTTTTGTTTTTTTTTTTTAACTGCAAGCAAAATACAACATACTTATTTATAGTAAATTTTTTTTTAAAGTAGAAGGAACCTACACTCAAATAATGACAAAAGGTAGAGTATAGCAAATACATAAACCAGTAACATAGTTGCTATTTTCATCATCAAGTACTATATACTGTTTGTGATTGTATAAACTTTTTAAAATTTTTTTATTATTATTATTTTCCTTTTTCAGACTCGTGATTTCTAAGGCTCCTTTCACATTTCATGAGCATTGTTTAGTATTAAATATTGATAATAATTTACTATTTTCCAGAGTTCTTGTTAATCTGAATCAAATTATTGGTGGGCTTTCTGGAGTTACCAAGCAGACAAGAAACTACGGCTCCAAAGTTGTGTCACTTGGGCCTGCATTCAGGAAATCAAATGGATTCATAGATTGAGGATATCAAAGGGGAATGAATATAATATTGGATGGCAAAAGCAGTTGTGAGCGCATCTTTGGTCTCTGACTCTGAGCTAGGAAGCCTTTCCAAAACCTACCAGATCTGCAATCCCATGCACTCTGCTCCTCTGGGGGCCAGGGAGCTTCCCTCTGTGAAGCTGGTAGACATTCTCCAAGGGGAGGCAGAAGGAGAGTTCCTGGCTCACACTCATATTTCATCAGGCACAGAAACGTCTGGCAGCTGCTTAAGACCGCAGCCAGAGACTGACCTCAAATCGTGCGTATGTCTGCAAGGCTTTGCTCCTCTCCCCTGGGCCACCAGGATATGTGGCTTAGAGCAGGGAAGACCCGCCAGCATCCGCCCAGAGAGTCCTGTGGTTGTTAGCTGAGCAGTGTCTAGCAAAGCTGAGCAGCTCTCTTGGTGGCATTGGGGCTTAAGGAGCCATGTGGAGCCTGGGAACAGGACTGCGGGTGGGGAACAGCTGTGGGGATCAGTCCCTCTGTCACTGCCTGCCAGCGCCTGGGAGAGTGGATTCCATTTCAGGCAGCAGTGATTCACACTGGGTGGCCTCTGCTATGCCTCTCACATCAGTACCACAGACGCAGAAGGCTGAGGAGAGCAGAGCTGTCGTTGGGGGAAGAGGCCCTGCCTTTCTCCTCCCATGTTTCTGGCTCAACAGCATCTTAAGCTCCATTTGGGCCTCTCAGCAAGCCCTGGCAAGATCTCTTGCATCTTGAGGGGTAAGGCCTATGAAGTCAAGGCAGCAGGTAGCAGTACTGATGTCCCCCAAGTGACATCTTCCTCACCTAAACTTTATAGAAGCACATCTTGACTCTATTGTAGGCCAAACTAGTTTTGTTTCTTTGAAGATGCAAAACAAACAAAAGCAACAAGAATATATAAAACCCCTAAATAACAAATAAAAACACACAGCAATGGCCCCCAGGTGTTTCCAGTCCCACTCTCCAAATCCCGGCTAACTCAGCATTCAGATTGGATAGTTCTACCTAGTTCTATGAACTTCCCAGAGGAGGAGATGAACACGGCTCTGGGGTCATGCACCCACTACAACCAGGAATGCCTTTCTCTGTAGTGTCAGGACCTCAGCTGCACTCAGAATCAGAGAAGGCTCACCTTTGCTTGCAGGTCCAGGAGCAGCTGATCTTCAATACCCAGGTAGTGGTTCATTGGACAGCCTTCAGGGCCTCCTGACCAGGACCCAGGTGTTCCAGCCCTCCGTGCACCCGTGTCCTCTGGAGAAAGTTTTAAAAAACTTAGCAAGGTAAAATAATTACATGCAACTGATAATCACGGATGCTAAATGTTCTCTCTGTCATCTTACATGATCCTCATAACCTTATGGAGTAAATGCTATTATTCATAAATGGGGAATCTGAGACTCAGAGAGACTAAGCAACTGGCCCAGTCCGACTGCTAGTAGTTGTTGGAATCAGGATGTAATTGCAGAAGACTCTAGAGTTTGAGTCTCTGTGTTTAACCACTATATGGGTATAAGAGCAGGCATGCGCGGGGCGTGGGTGTACACACACACACACACACGTGATGATGTACTGTGCATCCTTTGGTTTAGACAGTGTAATCACTTTTTATAATATTCACAGAATCATAGGTTGTTAGAAATAAAAGTCATTTTCAAGATTATTGACGTTTTCCCTTCTTTCAATTCCCCCCCCCCCAAAAAAAAAGCATATACTGTAACTTACCTTAGAGAAATAGTTCTCAAATTTGAGCAAGTATCAGTCACCTGAGAACTGGCCCAAACACAGATCTCTGGGCCCTGCCAGTAGAACTTCTAATTCAGTATATCTGAGTGGGGTCTGAGATGTGTCTTTCTAACAAGTTCCCAGAGGGTGTTGATGATGCTAATTCTGGGACCCCCCACTTGGAAACTCAGTCTGTTTTCTGTTATTATAATAAAATACTTGAGGTAAGGTACTTGAATAAAGAAAAGAGGTTTAGTTAGCTCACAGTTTTGGAGGCTGATATTCCAAGATCAGGCAGCACTATTTGTTTGGTCACTGGTAAAGACCTCATGATGCCTGGCATCACAGTGGTGGGAGCATGTACTAAAGAGACCACACAATGAGGCAGGAAATCAGAGAGCTTCAGGGGCCAGATTTGCTCTTTTGATACTAATTTTGCAAGAACTAAAATACTCCTACAGACCAATGTTAACCTCTTCTGAGGGATGCCCCCAATGACTTACCCACCTTCCATTAGGCCCCACCTCTTACAGGCTCCACCCCTTCTTAACATCATCAATTGGGGCTGGGTTTGTAGCTCAGTGGTAGCACACTTGCCTGGCACGTGTGAGGTACTGGGTTTGATCCTCAGCACCACATAAAAATAAATAAATAAATAAATAAACAAACAAATAAATAAATAAATAAAAGTTCATCAACAAATAGAAAAAAATATTAAAAACAAATAAACATTATCACATCGGGAAAAGGCTTCCAGCACATGAACCTTTGGGAGACAAACTGAAACTGCAGCCAAATCATAGCAGAGACCTGCTGCCTGCTGCTTTAGAGTGCACTGGACTTGATGGTGTCATAAGACACACTGCAGTTGTCACTTACACTTTCTTAGCAACGTTGATGAAGCCCGGGTGTTTTAGTCAGCTTTTTTCACTGCTGTTGACTAAAGGACCTGACCAGCACAACTATAGAGGAGAAAGAGTTTATTTGAGGGCTCCAAACCATAACACCAGGCAAACGTGCCCAGGGATCACTCTTAACAGTCACTTATTCTTTAATAACTCCTTTTTTTTTCAAATATATTTTTTTAGTTGTAGACGAACACAATATCTATTTATTTATTTCTATGTGGTGTTGAGGATCAAACCCAGTACCTCACACGTGTGAGGCAGGCCCTCTACCACTGAGCTACAGCCCCAGCCCTAATAACTCATTTTTGATTCCCAGCAACAGAGTCAGAATGTGGTAGACAGATTTCTAAAAATGCCCTCTTCCATGAAAAGATTCCACACCCCTTAGTTCTCGAAACCTGGGAAGGTGTGCTGATATTGTCCCCAAGATTGTGTTATGTTATACAGCACAGTTGACCTAAAAAGGGATTCAGCAAGGGATTGTGGTGTCATTTAATCATGTAGGTCCTTGAAACCAGAGAACTTCCTATGGCTGTTAAGGCAGAGAACAAAGCAGAAAGAGGAAATCTGAGAGGCTTGAAGCTCAAGAGCCAGGGACAGTGTGGAAGAGCTGCTGCTGGTCTGAGAAGGAACGTGGGTGGCTGCTCGGAGGTGAGAGTGACCTTCCTTCAGGAAGAAATCAGAACCTCAGTCCAATAGTTGCCAAATGCTGCCAACAGCCTGAAAGAGCTCAGAAACAGACTCTTCCCCGAGCCTCCAGAAAACAGAGCCAGGTCTGATCTCCCAAACCGTGAGCTCATAAATGAATGTAGTTTTAAGCCTCTATGTTGGTGACTGTACTGCAGTAGAAAACTAACACGCAAGTTCACAAAGTCCCAAGTTCAGAAGGGAGCTATGGCCCAATGCAGACCTACCTGCTCTAGAAGATCTAAGACCAGGAGCTAGCCCCCTGGGAGGCTCACCTTATCATTTGCTGGAAACAGAGTGGCTCTGACTTGAATTCCAGTCCCTTCGGGATGATGTTCAGTTCAGTAAGGAAAAAAAAAATCTAAAGATTGTCACACACCTGAGAATTGCCTGCCTGGCTGATCCACACCAGCCTGGCTGGCTCATGAACACAGGCAGATCCCTTGTCAACTAGCACATGCCCTTCATGGACGAGCAGTTTAAAAACAAGTTAGGAAAACAGATTGTCCTCCTGCGAGGCTGCTAAGCCAAATGCCCCACTTCCCTGTTTTTGAGATTAATCATCTATAATGCGGAGGCCCTGCGCCTCACCAGGATGCGGAGAAACTGAAGTCAGAGGAAGGTATAAATGTCCAGAATCCATCCAGCAATGATCCTCACCCCAAATGTTTGTGTTATCCTGGAAACAAGGTAAAATCCAAAAATTGAAGGGAATTCTTGATTTTTAACATGATGGTAGTTATACAATAGGATAGCCAAGATTCAACCACCTGATCTTTTTATTGTAGAAAGTAGAAATAACCATCTATTGCCGCAGTCGGACACAATTCAAATAAATAAAAAAGTTAGTACATAATGCCTACTATTGAGGTTTCCCCCCAAATGTTCTCTTCAAAATGAGTTCTGACACCTGATATTCATGTAGGTGGATACTCAGTTATGAAGGCTGAGGCTCCACGTCTCTTTCATCCTGGGTCCTTAACTGTGCATTGATCCTCTTGCTGAAAGCCCTGGAAGGGTGGAGCCGAGTAGCCAGGTCCTGCTCCCTGCAGGTCTTCATCCTTGGCCCTCTGAAGACACAGAATAGGGCAGGGCATGGTTTTCTGGCCCTGGTCACCCTTTTCTATGACATCTGCCTGCTTACACTGCGTGACCAGGATTGCCATGGAGGGAGCATCTGCCTTATGCAGGCAGGTTTAGCTCCTGGGTTTCTGAGCAGGCTCATGAGCCATGTATTCAGGTCCTGTGTGCCTCTCACAACAACCCGGAAGCAGAGCTGCACCCACAGACTGGCTTTCTCAAGACTCCGAGAAATTCGCTTCTTCCCACAAGATGTCTAATCAAATGTTTGTTCAGAAATACATAACCACATTAGGTTGCACTCCCACCACGGTTCTCCAATAACTTCTCAAAATTCTCTTTTTGTGGTTTCACTGTCATTCTCGTTTGTCTCTTTGAACTACTATCATTTCAACTATAATTTTTATTTTATGTTTTTAATATCTTTATTTTATTTTTATGTGATGCTGAGGATCGAACCCAGTGCCTCACGCATGCCAGGCGAGCGCGCTACTACTTGAGCCATATCCCCAGCCCCTCAACATTATAATTTTTAGACAGAAATGTGCCATGCATACCTTTCCTGATTTTGTCTCCCAACTTCAGGGTGTTGTTGGTCACAGGCAGGACTCTACTGTGCGAAGCAAAGTCTCTGGCCCTTGCTGCTGCTTAACTCCCCAATCTCCATCTATTACCCTTCCACCTCCCACCTTGTACTGTGTGTAGCAGAAGCTACACAGTAACATTTTAATGAAATATTTGGGAAGACATTCTTTTCGAATATTGGAAATCTTGAAGGGCATTGAGACATATTTGCCTGAAAAATGAGCAGATTCCAGTTTTCTATGTCATCCAAGCTCATGGCTTTATCTTATTTTACATTTTATGCAGTACACGTGGTTGAAATATATGGTGCTTTTTTGTTATCAGAGAGCGTGGTGATGGTATTACATCTGGAGTCAGATCAAAGCGAGTATTTTCCCTGTGGCTATGAGAACAGATGGCACTACAAGGGTCATGGCTGGAGCAACTAGATTTTTGAAACATAAATTTGTCACTTTACAAAATTTTTTAAAAAGGCATTCAAACACACACATACACACACACACACACACACCTTCCAAAAAAAACAATGTACTTCCTCCCACAAGATGTCCAATCGAATGTTTTGTTTGTTCAGAAATACATAACCACATTAGGTTTCATTCCCACCTGGTTCTCTGATAACCTCTGAAAACTCTCTTTCTGTGGCTTAACTGTCATTCTCATTCACCTCTTTGAACTATCGTCATTTCATTTCAACCTTATAACTTTTAACCCGAAATGTGGATTGGTGGTTAAATATAGGAATCCTGAAGTGTAAGTCTGAAAAGCAGTAAAAATACACAGAAAACTCAAGAGCCTGGCATTATTAATGATTGTGACAGTGTTACCCCCTAGAAACCAGACCCATTAAGAAATTGCCAGTGAAGTGTGTATATATATATACACACACATAAAGTTGATTTGAAATCTTGGGATGCCCTTGAATGTCCACATGGACAAAAAATATCCAAGCAATATAACAGACTGAATAGTGAAAAGTAATTACCTCTTGAAAATTATATTTTGCAAGGAGACAGGCAATAATATCTCCTGTCCCACATGTTTGTCTGCAGTGTGACCTTGACATTCTCTGAGTTGACTTAGTCATTTGTTTGAGCAATAGAATGAAATGAAAGTGATTTTCCTGGGACTTCCAAAGCTAGACATCTTGCACGTGTCCCCTGGGAGCTCTGGAACACTGCTCTTGAAACCCAGTTTTCATGCTGGGAGAATCCACAAAGAAAGATGCGGTGGAGAATCTGTTTGATAAGCCCGGCTGAGCTCCAGGCATGCATTATCAGTCAAATGAGTGAACCATCTTGGACATTCGACTCTGTGGAGCTGTCAGATGATTGTAGCCCTAGCTGACTGCTGGAAAATGCAGCTCACCATGGAACTCTGGTTTAAGATCCAAAGTTTTGTATGGCTTTTCATATGGTAATAGATACCTGGAACACCTTACCAGTTCTCTTTCCCAATATTTTTGTGTATGCCTTCAATCATATTTTCAGCAAATGCATTCAATGAGAGTGTGTCTCTTTCCTTGAGCAAGTGCAACATAGCAACACACCACTCCCTTTGCTTTCTTTTCTTTTCTTTTTTTCAGTCAATAACATATTTTAAGAGTTTATTCCGCTCCTGTTTATGTAGACCTGAATTGCTTTGAAATAGTAGCAGAGTACCTGTGATAGTTAATTCTGATTATCAACTTGTCTGGATTGATGGATGCCTAGAAAACTGGTCAAGCATACTTCTAGGTGTGTCTTTGAGGGTTTTTGTAGAGAAGATTGGCATGTGGGCCAGCAAACTGAGGGGGGAAGACCTGCCTTGAATGTGAACAGTATTGTCCAGTAGGCTTGGGGTCCAGGTGGAATAAAAAAGCAGAAGAGGAACCTCCTGTGGGCCCACTCTGGACCCTCCTTGAGTGATTATCATCTGTGGACATCAGACTCTAAATTCTCCAGCCTTTGAATGTGGCCTTGCATCAGTGACTCTCCCAGAAGCTTCTAGACCTTCAGCTTCAGACTGGGTCTGCATTGGCCCCTCTTGTTCTGAGGTGTCAATATCTAAGATTGAGCAGCTCCTGATTTCCTTGACTCTCCAGCATACAGATGGCCATTGTAGAACTACCCAGAATCTTCCATTCATGTAAGCCAATGTAAGTCCACTCCTATGATTATATCTAGTCTATTGGTTATGTTCCTCTGGAGAACCCTGACTAAAAGAGTACCCATCACTTATCACTATAATATATTTAACCAGTTCACTATTGATGGACATTTAGGGTTCCCTTTTGCCAACCTGTATTTTGTTACCACCTTGATTCATTGTCTATTCAGCTAAAATACTCTTGTGCAAGTGTCTATCGTATGTATGCATGTATCAATCTATTGGTTACATTCCCAGAAGAAAATATTTGTATCTTCTTTAATACAATTCTATGTGCATTTTAAATTGTAGTAGAAATTTCCACATTGCCCCTCCCCAACAAAAGACATTATACCAAGTTATATTCTCTCTAAGCAGATTTAGGGGTACCTACTTTCCCACATACTTGCCAAAACAGCATGTTACCAAAGTTTAAGAAATTGTTTATGCTGAATTCTTATTCAAATTAGATGTTTTTATTATTGTGGAAAACAAATGAGCTACACTCATGATAGCTAGTTGATATTTCGATGGCTTTTGAGAAATTCCCAGCTATAACTATATTAATTGCATAAATCATTCTTGTCAAATTGTTAAAAACATAACTGTATAGATTTGGGAAGTAAAAAAAAAAGAGTTAAAGAATAACAAAGTTGAATACAATTCAATTTTTATGATATGTTCAAGCTAAAGCCTGAAAGTAGATATCTGAAGTATTAATAAAAAGCGAGGTCCATCCTTATGATTAATCTGTCAATCCAGCAAATAAAACACTCTCTGAACTGAGCGTTTTGTCACACACCTGTAATCATAGCTACTCAGGAGGCTGAGGCAGGAGGTTTGCAAGTTCAAGGTCAGCCTGGGCAACTCAGCAAGATCCTGTCTTAAAAAAAAAAAAATTGAAAAAGGGCAAGAGATGTAGCTCCCAGGTTCAATCCCTAGTATCTTTCCCACCAAAAAAGAGGCAGCCAAACCCAAAAGGATGTTGTTATCAAAAGGTACATTTTAATGTGCTAAAAAGCCAAATTGAATAATTAACAAGAGACTGAGATTAATTTTTAATATTTTGCTAAAAGCACAGACTGAAAAATAAAAAGCAAAGTGAATAGTATGTTTATACAAACATCAACGATGCAACCACTTTATAGGTTTTTTATTTATTTATGTAAAATGGATCTAGGTCAACTTGCAGAATGACTAATTTGCTAGATGACCATTCATCAGCCTTAGATGTTTCTTCTGAGTACTTATTTTTAGCTGACTAGTTTTCATTTGTCATTGTAACTGCATCTTCAGGAATGTCACTTTGTCTCTAATCCCTTGGTTCCACAACTGCTGCAGCTGGAGATGGAGAGGAGCCCATCTCCAATGGGACAGCTTTCCAGGACCATGTCGTTTTCTGCAAAGTAGGCCCAGTCCTTGATCAGATAATAATGAATGCAGATATTTTCATAGTGTGAAGTCCTGACCATAGATCTTTTTTTAAATAAACATCAGGGACATTTGCCATTACATTATAAATTAAACATATAATTAAATTATATATATATATATATATATATATATATATATATATATATATATATATATATATATATATAGTTAAAAGCCTGTAAAGAATGTCAGTCCAGCTGGCCAGAATTTTTTTGATTAAGGAGAAAAGTTGGCTTGCCTTGCTCTCCTAAGCCCACTCAAGCCTTGCTGCTTGAGGACACACTAGGAGACAGATGAAGGGTCACCTGCTTGCTTTTCCATCTATTTGGCAGTGAAACTAGAGATGACAAGCCTTATCCTGTAGCAAAGAGAGGCATTATGGTGGGGAAAACAGTCCCTGGTCACCTAGCAGTATTGGGGATTAACTTGGGGTAGGGTTTCCCAAGATTCCCTAATGATAACAGTCACATAGGTCACTTTCTGACCATCTTCCTTGAATACTTTGGTTCTGTTGGATATTTTGGTTTTGTCAGGAGTTCAGACTATGCCTTTTAACAAAGCGGTCCCAGAGCTGGGTACTGTGGCACATGCCCATAATCTTGGTTACTCACAAGGCTGAGGCAGGAGGATTGCAAGTTTGAGGTCATCCTGGGAAATTTAGCAAGTAAGCCCCTGTCTCAAAATAATATTTAAAAATAAAAAGAGAGAGAAAAAGGGATGGGGATGAAGCTCAGATGTAGAATGCTCCTGGGGTCAATATCCAGTGCCAATTAAAAAAAAAAAAAGATGATTTTTGTTATCAAAGGAAGTTGAGGAAGCCCTGCCTTGGGCAAGGACACAGCTCTCTCATTCTATGAGAGGAAGCAGATGTAATATTTAACCACCAAAGAGAAACATCTTCTTGGACAAAATCCAGGAAAGAAAGAAGGCCACAGTCACAATTCTGTGGAGGACGAAGTTCACAGGTCATTTGGAAGCTTTGCAGTCATGAATGACAGGCAATGTCCCTGAAGAGCATGCTGCCTTCTCTAAATCAGCTTGGGTTTGAGAACAAAACATAGAAGGCTCAAAAAGGCAGCTGTTTGTCTCACCTTGGAGATCAGAAACTGGGGAGCCACCTGGAGGGAAGACCCTAAGCATGTGTCCCCGCTACACTATGACACTTTCACCTCTGATGCTCATGCAGCCTCTACCAGTGATGTGGCATATAGAAAGCTTTCCCTCTCCCTCAGCTGGAGTTACTTCCCAAACATGCAAAGCAAAAGGCACATGGGGGTGGGGCTGGGGTTGTGGCTCAGTGGTAGAGCACTCGCCTAGCATCTGCAAGGTGCTGGGTTTGATCCTCAGCACCACATATAAATAAATAAAATAAAAGGGTAATAAAAAAATGGGGGAAAAAAGGCACATGGTCCAGCCAGGAAAGAACAGGACCTCAGAGCTTTGTAACTCTGTTAATGAAGTTTTAAGTATTGCTATGATTTGAATGAGTCCCCTCCCACCCATAAATAAATAAATCAATAGAACAAGAGGAAGAGAGACCTGAGCTGATACATTTTTGAGCTCTTATCCACAAGATGCCTTCTGTCATGTTATGAAGAGAGAAGACTCTCATCAGATACTAGCACCTTAGTGTTGGACTTGCCAGCCTCTACAACTGTGAGAAATAAACTCCTGTTCTTTATAAATCACCCAGCACATTGTATTCTATTAGAGCAACAGAAAATGGATTATGACAAATACATCATGACTAGAGATTTCTAAAGTGGCTGGGAATACACATACAGCCAAGAAATAGTGTCCACCTATTTGTAACTAGTTGATTCAGTAGCAAAGTTCGGTTAGGCTCCCAGAACATGTGGTGGATACATCAAGGGTCCCCTGGAGGCAGCTTTGCCATTTCTACAAACCTAGCTTTGGGAGGTCAAAAACAGAGCTTGGAGCAATAACTTGTCTGGTTCTAGAAGAGCACCTCCAGGCCTAAGGGCAGCTTGAGAAGTGTCTTCTGAATGAGTGAATGAATGAATGTGAACCCGAGAGAGAGCTCGTCATTGGCTTGCAAAACACAGACCTCCACTTGCTGGTGATTTATGACAAAATTTCAGGCTTCATTTCTCAGACCTTTATTCTTCTAAACAAAGTTCAGCCCTCAGCGTGTTATACTCTGTTAACCACAGAAGCCCAAAGTTCTTCTATAACTAATCTGAACCTGCGATTCCTCGGCTTTCACAACCCCTTTCCCCTCTGAGAAGCAGGGACCTTGCGTGAGGGACCATGGAGCACGGCAGCAGCCGCTTGGAGGACTTCCCTCTCAATGTGTTTTCGGTCACCCCTTACACACCCAGTACCGCTGACATCCAGGTGTCCGACGACGACAAGGCGGGGGCCACCTTACTCTTCTCAGGCATCTTTCTGGGACTAGTGGGGATCACGTTCACCGTCATGGGCTGGATCAAATACCAAGGCGTCTCCCATTTTGAGTGGACCCAGCTCCTTGGGCCCATCCTGCTGTCAGTCGGGGTGACGTTCGTCCTCATTGCTGTGTGCAAATTCAAAATGCTCTCTTGCCAGTTGTGCAAAGAAAGTGAGGAAAGGGTCCTGGACTCGGAACAGACATCAGGAGGACAATCCTTTGTTTTCACCGGCATCAACCAACCCATCACCTTCCACGGGGCCACTGTGGTGCAGTATATCCCTCCTCCTTACAGTACTCATGAGCCGATGGGGATGAACACCTCCTACCTGCAGCCTGTGGTGAACCCCTGTGGTCTCATACCCTCTGGAGGAGCAACTGCCACCATGCCAAGTCCCCCTCAGTACTACACCATCTACCCTCAAGACAATGCTGCGTTTGTGCAGGGCGCGGACTGTCCTTCTTTCATGGATGGCGGAGATGACAGGTATGGGGTGTGTATGGGGATGGCCCTCTCCCACCTCTCACGCTCAGGATCTACAGCTGCATCTGGTCTATAAGACAGGGGTGGGGACTACAGTCTGTCGTCTGCTGCTCAGGGTGGCAGCACTAGTTCCGTGAGTAGGGTCCTGGGCTGTAACACATCTGTGTTTTCTGTCACATTTCAGACGCAGCCCTGACGCTGACCAGCTAGAAGACACACAGCTGGAAGGGGACAGTGCTCGCTTCTCACCTCCGCCCTATGAGGAAATATACATCCTCCCCCGCTAGAGGCTAGACTATCATGCTAAGGGAATGAGTATTTGAATTATTGTGACCTGACAACTGGCATGTTCTGTGCTGTGACCTTCAGAAATTAGGCAGCAGTGCAGCCAGGCAGCCTGACATTCAAGGTGGGAAGTTAAATGTTTCAGGCTGGTAAAGATTACAGTGGCCCAGGAAAGTTCCCCTTTAGTACAGCTTCAAATCCTCTCAGGTGAGCACCTCTCTGTGTAAGATCCCCAAGGATTTCACCTGCTCCCCTCCCCCTTTCACTCTGCAAAGGCATTGGTGTCTCAGTTTTAACTCCAGCAGCCAAGGGAAAAATCACTGCTTCTGAGATAATCACTGCTTCTCAGGGAGCTTCCACAGCAGTGCGAGTGGGGTGGGAAGGGAGCAGGGGAGAGAAAAGAGGTTCAACTAAAGATTTCCCAGTGCTTGTCCTGGGCCCCAAAGTGGACTTGTATATCCCAATCAACCCAGTTGCCTTCTGGTTTCCCTTGAGGACTCTGAATATGTTAAAGGCTGAAAAACAGATGCATAAATACAGTAAAATAAGATAAAATAATGTCTCCTGTTGGAATAGTGTTGGAGAACTGGCCAAACCATATGGATGAAATGATAATGAGATAATGATGTGAATAAATCTGTAGGTTATCCCTGAGTCACACTGACCCTGGGCTGCTGATGTTCTCTTCTGCCATGCTGAAGGTTGATTGATGTGTGATGCACGTGAATGGCCATTGGTCCACCCCAGACTGGGGTCATCCTGGGCATGAATGAGCTCTGCCATATGGCTGACTGACTACAGGCACTTCCCCAAACCCTAGGGATCTGTTAAGTTAGAACAGAGCTAGCATGTCAACACCTGGGAAGTCATGGGCGGTGAAAAGAATCTTTTGGCTAAGATAAGCTCACCTTGTTCATAACAAAACTTTGATATCCTTCATTCCCTGAATCTGAACTGTGTACTAAATAGCAGACTTTACAAGAGGCAGTTTAAAATCATTAGGTGTCAGAAGAAGATATTTTCCTTGGGCTCCAAAGGTAAAGCCAATCAAGGTGAGGGAATATCCCAAAGAAAGACACAGGGTATAGCAATGCTTTAAAGTTTTGATACCATGTCTGTACATGGAGGAATTTTTACTTTCTATAAGAAGCACTTAGTTTCAAGAATAGAAGTAATATAGCTGGCGCAATGGTGCACACCTGTGATCTCAGCGGCTCCAGAGGCTGAGGCAGGAGGACAGCAAATTCAAAGCCAGCCTCAGCAAAAGCAAGGAGCTAAGCAATTCAGTGGGACCCTGTCTCTGAATAAAATACAAAATAGAGCTGGGAATGTGGCTCAGTGGTTGAGTGCCCCTGAGTTCAATCCCCAGTACCCCAAAAAAGAATTGGACTAATATAAGCATAGTATATTATGGTTGTGATTTATACTATGACTCAAGGAATACCTCTTTATATTCATTTTCATTTTGGGGAATAGAAGGTGGAGAAACATGATTCTGTTTATAGACTGAGTTTATGAGCTTCACACTCAATGTGTTCGTGAGAGACTGGAGTCCAAGCAAGGAGTCATCAGTTCTAGGGAAGAAGTTAGGTGACATCATGGAGCATCACTAGTGACATGCTGACTGCCAAATGACAAGTTGAGTGGCAATGAACATCAAAGGAAGCTCACTAGAGGAAAAGATGTTAGGAAAGGATGTTGTGTGTGGAGCCAATTTGGGCAAGACGGCCAACTAGTCTTGGTGATGTCAAGAGAGGGTCACCTTGCAGAGAAATGACCTTGGGGAGATTTTAGCTCCAGGAAGCAGAGTCGTTCAGCACCACTGTTCCCATCTCAGTACCAACTAGAGTCGTTTATGGTCCTAAGGTCTGGAATCAGGACTTCAGGGCTAATAGCTTCAGGAATCCATGGTGCAAGTATAGACTGTAACAATCAGGGCATCAGAAAATGGAAATGTGTTCATTCCACATTTATTTATTGAGCATCTACTCTGTGCCAGGACCAGGGCCATCAAGAGGGAATATAACTGTGAAAACATAAACCTAAAATAGAGCGGATAAGGCTCTATACTTGTAGAACTTCTAGTCTGGTGGAGAATCAAGTATTGAATATCTACTTTATCTATTAATTATTTCTGATACTTGTGAGGGGTCCTGGAGCTCTGGGTGGGTGGGGGGGAGTTGTACTCACCAAGGAGTCACAACTTGCCTGGGAAAGTGAGGATGGGGCCATTGCCTTGTATAACTCCAGGGAGTGCTTTTCGCAGGAACAGCCACCCGTGGAGATCATGCAGGGACCCAAAGGGACAGGAGCATCCACTGAACAAAGAAGAGAGGGCAGAGCTCATGGGAGAAGCCTGGTGAAGTGCCACGTGGAAGGCAGTAGGAGGAGGTGTCTTTAGGGCTGTGCAGGCCTTTTCCATTCCTTGCTGCTAAAGTGCTCAGAAAAAAACTGCCCTCAGTACCCAAGACATTGCACCTACCACCTTTTCTTGCTGAGAGACAACCCCACCAGGCTCTCTTTATTTCTTCACTGGGAAGTCAGAGGGGCCAACCCACTGGGGGGCTCCATGCTTATAACCCTCAGGTCCTTGCTTGGTCTCCTGAACACTGTGCCTACAGAATTTCTGGTTTGTCCTCTGGATAGCTGCCTTTTAGCATCCTCTCAGTCACTATCTTATCAGGGCAAAGAAAGAGATCTGGAGTCAGTCTCCTGGTCTGCTGTTTACCCTTAGGTGGTGTTCAGGGACACCAGGCGTGTTTCAGTGGAGAGGGAGCTACAGTCAGTGGCCAAGCTACCTTTCCCTCCCTCCCCTCCAACCTTGGCCTCCAATGGGGCCATATGTAATTGGGCCATCTATATAGAGTTAAAAAACAATGCTAAAGGTCTTGTTGATAACAAATAAAAATAGGTTTCTTAAGAATTTGAACTGGGATTGTCCAGGTTTGAGAAATGAAGCCCAAATACCAATGGAAAAACACTTCCGCAAAGCTCTGGGGGCATCTTCTTTGGTCCCTGTCAGCCCTTGTAGGGGCCTGTATCTTTTGCAACATGGGACTGTTTGTCACAGTGGAGGCTCCCCAGAGATTTTAGTCACTTCCCCTTCTTCTCCATAGAGTTCAGTATGTGTCTTATGTTTCAGATTCACCATGTGGTTCTCTGCTACAAAACCAGCCCTTTCAATACTCTCCTCTTTTCCTCCATTATAAAAATAAAGGCTGTTGTTTGTGAAGAGTGGACCTGGGGTGTCTGTTTTCAGGTTCAGACCTCTGGGGCTCCTCCTGGCCTGGTTTACTGTTAGATCAGTGGAGTAAGATTTCACCGAAACTGACTAAGCGCAAGGTGGCTGTACCCCAAACAGAAGCCCCTCACAGTGACCATGGGGCACACACCTTCTCCGCCAACCAAGAGGAGAGAGGTTCTGACACATATCTCAGAGGTGCATCCAGATCTTCCTAGTGTCCCTGCCTGTTACAACCGTCGGCCCATCTCATATTGTCTGGTGAGATTGCCTAGTTCAGAGCCCTACACACAACCACCTCTCAGATCCTGTTGAATAACAAATGGAGAATACATGAAGAACTTTCCAAATGGATAATAAATGACCATTCTAGCTTATTGGGTGTTTTGTTGTTTTTTCCATGATGAACAGTTTCTAATGTATACAAGAGTACAAGGGACAGTGTCTGAGACTCTATGTAGCCATCATCCACTTCAACTGTCAACTCAGAGCCCACCCACAATCAACTGGATTTTTAAAAAGCAAGCAAGTCATCAGATGATTTCCTCATAAAATATTTCACTGTGTATCTTTAAAAGATGAAGACACAAAAACAATTACAGTGCCATTATTAAACTAAAAATTTTACAATGGTTCCTCAATGTCGTCAGATATCCAGTCAGTATTCAGTTTCTCCAGTCCCTCCCCCAACACTGCACACACACTTTTTCCCCCTCTTTGTTTGACTGAGATCAGGATCCAAACAAAATTAGCTTTTTGCTAAATGCATCATAAATTTCTAGCTGTTTTATACTGTATTTTGGAAGGTAGACAGTTGGTAAGTTACCTATGGCAGCAGATTCATACCTGATAAAATTCACTTTCCAAACAAAAAACTGTTTTTGAGATTTTTTCAACTTCATATCTCCATTTCTCTCAGCCCCTTGAAGTGCTAGGACTCTTCTATAACTAGTAGAATTTTTCTTACTATTAGAATATTATTAGAGATTTTTCCAAATACAGGCCTGAAAAAAATAACACATGAAAAGAGAAAAAGACCTTTGACTGGCTAAGAATTATCTGTCACAGAATAGCTGCAAAACTATCAGAAAGTTGACAACCTTCAACTTTTTTGGTTAAAATGTTGAAAAAAAATATTTTTCTTCTGTTAGGGTCATAAAAACTCCTTTAAACATCTCAAAAATAGGAACCAAAGTCTTTTTTTTTTTTTCTTAGAGTCTCCTTTTTAAAACATAAAGAATCAAAGCCTTTTGCGTGCTCTACATTAAAATATTACCTGGTACAATTTAACCCTCAGAGGTTATTTCCTGGGCCTTTTACCAATGAATTTTCAATGTTCTTCAAATTAAAATGAATATATTTTCTGCACATGCTACAACTCTTCTTTTGAAGGTGGAAATGTCCCAACGTGTGTATTCACCTACACTCTCTTATTATGGAATATGATTTATGGATTTCTTCCCCACGTACTACTTGTAAATCATCGAGATTTTTATGTCCTGAGCAGTCAGCAGTTGGTTATAAAATCAACAGAGGGCTGTACTAAATAAACCTTTGCCGGACGGCTCTGAAAGCATTGATGACAAATCAGAATGTGAAGACAACACCATGGGAATGATTCTCACCTACCGGTGGGAAGCCACAAGGTCTCAGGGAATTTTATTTGCCTGGAGACTTTAAGATGAATTACTAGAAGAACTAGTAAGGGAATCTGTTTCCTAGTTTCTAGAAGTTTTCTTATAACAAAGAATCTGCCCTGTATTGTAAAACATATAGAGGTGTAAATCATAGAACCAAACACATATGTTCTGGAGTCTGTGCTTATACACAGGTATTAGAAGATAGATATTTTTTCTGTTCTAACCTTCTCATTCATTATTTTCAAAGGTGGACATACATATTTGAGTATGTATGTGCTCAGCATTATTTCTGTTTGGGGTGTTAGAAATCAATTCCAGGTCCTCACACATGCACTCTAACACTGAGCTACATCCCAACTCATCTTTTTGTACTTGGGAAAATCTCTTGAAGAACACAGAAGAATTGGTATTAATTATTTCTGGGGCGGAGGATGATAGACTCATTTTTCACTTTATTCCATGGTAATGAATGAACATTTTTACTACAATTATATATTACCTGTTTATAAAATTATTTTTAGACTAGAGGGGGAAAAGAAGGCAATAATGATCTCTCTCCGTGTCTTCTATGTCTTCTATGAGTCTCATCTTCTCGAGTCCTGGTATAAATAATCTCCATTGCCACTTCTGTTATAGATGTAGTACATAAACATACATGATAAAGACTCTATGTGGTGTGAGTACATTCATGGATGTGGACACACATCCATAGTTCATTGTACTATGAACTCTTGCACAGGGACACATACCATTGAAGTCCCTAGAGCAGGAAC